ACTATGGGTGAGACGGTACACGCGACCAGTGTTCTCATCCGTCTTCACCACCAGCGAATTGCATTTTCCTCGGAGTGAGAGCGTTGTCCGGGTATTGTTCGTGGCACTCACCTACAAATGAGAAAAAGAAATGAATAAATAATGTGAGTGAAGTAATAAATGCTAAATTCTGTTAAGTGCATACCTATAGTTCATTATCATTTGTGCCTTCCGTATTGCGGTGATGTTCGGCTCCGTCGTCGTCCATTCTCCAATTGGTTCTGTCATTGTCGACGACGCGTAGACCGTATTCACTGATGTCGTTGTTGCTGCATCTTGGGGGGGATACATCGAAATCGGTCATTGTCCCGACGTCGCAAAAAGAAATCGCCGTATTCGTGCCAATGCTTCGGAAAGTTTCTGAAGACGAAGAAGAAGAACAACGAGAAGAAAAACCAGAAGAAGAATAAGAAGAGGAAGCAGATGTAATAGACTGGCCAGTATTTAGTTTCGAACGAGCCTCGCACAGATGTTGACGGCGTTTCAAAAAACCTTTGGCCATTTTCTTCAATCGCGTAGAAGTACTTTGATCAACAGTGGTATTTAAAATGGAGTTTCAGAATTGAGAACTTAAATACAGCTGTGACTGTGGAAAAGTTGAAGAGAAGAGCAGAGTGTTGGGGATTACCTAGGTCACAAATAATCTCAGGGAAAAAGTACATACTGAACAAATACTGGAAAAGAATGCTGTAGTCTCATGGATTAGTCGGGCCAATTGAAATGGCAATCAACACTAACCAGACAGAAAACAACGAAAGTGCCTTCAGGCTGCCATTACTGCTTGCCCGTTAGGCATTTCAGTGGGCTGAGCGCCGTATTCGTATACTGTACTTTTTCCGCTCACTTGCAATTTTTTCACAACATTTTCACTTTCAAACCCGCATAACTCCCAAAAGTGGTCACTATTTCCATAATTATAACCAGCTCATTTTGTAGAGAGTTTTAAGCCCTACTAAATGAGCCTGGTCACTTTGCTCAGTTCTTGTTCCTTCACCCTGAAATTTGGTACTACATAAATGTGTCTTTCATTTTTGCCCAACACTTTTTACTTTGAGACCGCTCAAGTTTTTTTATAACGGTTGCATCTCAGTATATGATAGTTCTTATGATAGAGAATTTTATTCTCTACAAAACGGTCACAATTTCTTCAATCAGTCCGCAATGAATTTTCCCTCAAAACGGTTCTTTTCCGATATACCATCGTTTAAATTTTGCTCATTCAAGAGCTCAATCACACGTTGACCTGCGATTGCGCTTGTTCTCCGCTGACTCCGCCTCTGCGCTCAGACGCGTTTCTATGGCGAAGGGCGACGAGGCCGTCAAGAAAGGTGGATTATTGCCATGCCCATGTGCTTGTACCACAGCAGCAAGGCAGTGTTTGGAATGCTTCCCTACTTTTATCATCTTCCGTGTTCGTGATTGGTTTCATTTTTCGGAACATTGTCACTGTAATTTTTTAAAATCATTTAATCGTTGCTAACTTTGCAGTGTATACTTAACGATGAATCGTTTCATGGAACAAGCTAAGCAGGCATCGAGAAAACTCGCTGATCTTGTTTATGTGCCACCTGAGGACGTAGAAGAGAAGTCGAAAGGTGTTACTGAAGAAACGGGTGAAGAATTAGAAGAAAAAGGAGAAGATAATAAAGAATATAAGTCAGACGTTGGTGTTGATTCAAGTAAGACGGAATTGGAAAGTGATAATGAAAGGCCAATTGAAGTGAATGACAATCATCCCGCTAACGACATGACTGTAGAGGCATTCCAGAAAGCTAAACTATTTGCTGGTTTGTTTTAATGTTTTACTGATATCTTGATCAGCATAGTGAGTATTCATCGCTTGCGCATTGGTAAGAAAGCCAAATTTGATACCAGGGGTGCAGAATAGGTTGAATTCTGTTGTAATTACTATTCAGTAAAATAAATTTTGATTCTGTTTTGAAAAATGTTCTCAATGAGAGTGCTATAATGGAGGGAACTACGCAATGAAATGAAATTTGGTAACATTCTTTTTGTTGTTATGAAATTCAGTTGTTGATTTTAGATTCATTGTTTTCGTTTGCTAAACAAGCAACCGTGAAAGTTACAGAAACGGCTGAAGAAACTGCTAAAACACTGCGTACTGTTGTGGCAGAAAAGGTGATATAGTTCATCTATCCGTACCATATAATTTCCACATTTTAGGAGAATAACTTTTATGATTTCCTGTTTTGAATAAAACTACGCATGATTTTAGCCTTCGTTTTCGTTTCACTGTATTAATCTCCATTATTCTATGTATAGTTCCCTGTGTTAGCTGTTTAGTTTGAATTGTACTAATTTATATTTTTAAAATCATCATGGTGCTTTCTGTTACGGTCAACTGTATTAATTTAAAGAGATTGCAGTATTGATTTCATTTAATGATTCTTCTCTTCAATTCCTTTGTTTATTCAAAAAATGTTGGAATTTTTATCTTTATATACTAGTTTCAGACAATAATAGGCTCTTTCGACAAGGAACAATCAAAATTTTGTGCTGAAGTGAATAAAGAACACGTTAATGTAACGTTATTGCCTTGGGATGATGTTTCTGACCAGTCAGTCGCGCGTAAACAAATGCTTAGCTTATCACTTGTAAGTCGTGTGATTTGATAATTTTTAATTTCCTTATTGCTTTTCAACATTTCTGGAATATGTTAATTTCAAGCATTTATTCCATAACACAATTTGTTTTATTGGTAACCATTTTACAAAAAATGCGTATTTTAAAAACCATAATGAATTCCTGGGAGATGCCGATAAATTTGGTTAATCATTTTCTCAGTTCATTTGTAACTTCATAATTCAATTTCATCGATAGGATAGTCGAAATTTCACGCGTGATCCTCCCAGTGAGACAAATTTTTCATTTGAAAATACGCAAGCGATGGCTGAGACAATGCTCAATGAGGATCCAAATCTTCGCAAAATTCGTTATCAACTTGTCCCAAAACAGAAAGTTTCATTTGTATTTGTATCACTTCGCTTGTTTCTGTTCAGTTTCTTCAAATAATTGTTTTCATTATTCTTTTCTACTTATTATTTGGCGTCAATTAGTTTGAATGCAAAATTTTGGCATTATTTCTTTCACTTCCGAGTGATATGATTTTGATTATGGGTTCCATTATAGTTTAAATGTTGAAGAAATTCATCAGCCTAAAGTTTTCATCGTTTCATGTGAGTAGAGAGAAACGTATGAAAGTTTTTAAGAATTGATGAGCCTATTGTAAGTGGAAATTTGTTTCCAGCCGTAGAGAGATTGACTTCAGGTTGAGCGAAGAACGATTTTGGCGAAATTATTTCTATCGTATATCACTGATAAGACAGTCAATTATGGGTGAAAGGAATTTGGTTAATGAACAGCCGTCCTGCTCTAGTGAAGCGATAGACCAAACTGCATCTGCGATTGTGCCTGAACAAGACCAAATGAAGCAACAACAAAACACTGACAAAATATCAGATGAAGGAAAATTAAGTGAAAGAACCGAAAAAGAAGAGACGAATAAAGAGGAAGAGGGAGAAAAACGTGAAAGTGAGATTGAAAAAAATCTTGAAAAAGTGAGAGACTCTCTTCTCAATAATAAACAAAAAAGTTCGTTCATTCTTTCATTTTTCTCACTTTATTTATTTATTTACAAAATTGTTCTCATTGCTCATTGTAAGCAATCTTCTACCAAAAAACGATTAATGTTTTTAATTGATGATACTTTTCATTCTTATTGATTCGTTCATCGGAAAGTTCATTGCTATAAACTAGTTAAATTCATGATTAAAAACTGTAATATTCACCGTAGTAATAAAATACTAAAATCTTCATATGATTATCTTAAAAGTTCTTCAACACATTGTTTGCATTGAGCAATGAATATATTTGCATATAAGTATATCATTTTGGTTTAAGTAATCAATGAATGAAGTGATTTACTCAGAATTTTTTGTAATTTATGAATTACTATTAGCTCACAACGCATAATAATAATGGTGTCGTAAGTGATGTTATAGAAGATGAAGAAGATTGGGAGGAGGAGTTGCTGAATGATTTAACTGATTACGAATTGGTGAATGAACAGAAGAAAAAGAGTGACGAGCAGTGGGAAGCTGAAATTACGGAGCTGTTAAATTCGTCATAGGACGTTTGTGCATTTTTTGCATTCTATGGATTTTCATCGATGGTTCATGTCCATTCAAGATTTATTTATGGTTTTGTTTGTTGCTTTTTTATAACGAAACGTATTTCCTAGACTGGGAAGCGAGCAGAATGTGATTTGTAAGTTTTTAGGTTGAAAAAATTATGGGATGAACACTCATCAGATCACTAAAGTTGCAGTGTTTGTGTAGTGAACAATATTATATGCTAATTTCAAATAATTCATTTTTGCGCCTGGTTTATAATGATCATTTGTTTTGTTCCAATTGAGATTCGTTACGAGTTGCCATTCGCTCATTTCAAAACCAATGGCGTGTGCTAATCCTAAAAGAGTGAGTGTACATAATGAATCGTTTTGCAAGAAGACCCTAGATATGTCTGTGATACTGATTTTATGTGTGCGTATGTATAAAAGATTTACGAATACGATTATTCTGTATCATATCATATTCCATTATGTAATTGTGTTTAACATTGTGGTTCAAGCTCGTTGTTTATTGATGCATATTCTTCAGTTAACTCTTATACATGGAGCACTCATTTAAAATTGTTTCTAATAAACTGAATTGTTATCTGAACACTGGCAGAGTTGTGGATCAACTTTACTGTATAAATGATGATTTTGGGCATGTTTATAAAAACGAGACAGCATTATGCATAAAATCAATGAAGAAACAATGGAAATTGATGAAGCAATGAACCATCAGTGTCGTTAATATTAATGCTGATTGACGCTGGTTGCAACTGCTGCCAGTTTTGCTTGCGAATAAACTGAGAAATTGTCATCAGTGTTTTTATCTTCACCGTGTTGTTCTCAACGAAGTACACCCAATCATTGCTTCTAAAATAAAACTAGTTAATCATCAGTTTTTTGATGTAAACATAAGTGCATTTTGTCGGTTGTTACTGAACAACATCACTTTATCTAACATTTCTTTAGGTGCTATCAGTATAAATCTATGTATACGTATTATGTTACTGAAGAACATTCATTTGCCTACACAATCGAATATAACGCCAAAAAAATTTTTATTATTTACGCTGACACAGCTGTAGCCCAACGGCTAACGCATAACGGACTGTTCCCTTCATAACTTCTATTTCGTTTATTGTGCATTTCGTGTGTGTTCGAATCGTTTAGAGTGCAACGTTCCCGTTTTGGAAACATGATGTCAAATGTTTATAATAACAATTTAACTGAAGCACCCATTTAGAACATCCATTATACATTGTTTGTTTACGTCTCGCAGACGCAGAAAAGCAGTTTCAGTCGAATATTTTCTAAAATAGATCCTTTAGAAATAATTTAAAATGTATAAATTAACGCTCAAAAACTTTTGAAGTGCAGAACAGTGTTGTTCAAATCCACTAACTGTCGAGTTTTTTTTTGTAAATATGCTATAGAGAGTCGAAACATTCTGTAACAGTACTTAGAATGATGCGATTACGTGTTACACTCAGTTTCTAATTTTGTGTTCCCAAAATAGCAACGTTGCACTCTGAAGGTAGAGTAACAAGTAGAAGTTTTCTTCACCTTCGTTTCAGTCGTNTTAGAATGATGCGATTACGTGTTACACTCACAATCAGTTTCTAATTTCGTATTCCCAAAATAGCAACGTTGCACTCTGAAGGTAGAGTAACAAGTAGAAGTTTTCTTCACCTTCGTTTCAGTCGTTTCTGAAACATAAAATGAGCCTTTTATTCAATTTTAATTCATGTCCGAATGGTGCATGACTCGTAATGGTCAGTGTTTGTTAGAAGGCAACTTTTTGGCTCAGGAGAATCTCATTGGAGTGCATTTCAAAGAATAGATCGAATGGAATGAATTAATTCAGTCTCTTTTGATTACTACTGAAAAACTGGAAAATGTTCACGAGACTGCTATTTTCCCTCTGGATGATGAACTGTTGATTTATTACGGCCAGTTGAACTGTTTACATAGTACATGATTCATAGATATCAGCACCTCATTAATATGGGGATACTCGACTGTTTCTTCTTTAATCATTTTGATCGTTGGTATTGATAATGCAAACGGAAACAATGTTCAAATTATTTAAGCAGTAATACCTTATAGTAAGTGTTAGCGTGCTATGAATGATGAATTCAGAATACTATTGGAGATTTGATTTGGTAGGAAATGACGGCGGCAAAAGATTAACTGATCGAAAAAAATGAGAGCTTTTGCGATATTCGGGTCAGGGAGAAAAGATTGTGCTAAGAGGACGGAAATTTTCCAACGTCGAAATCTCTGATCGGAGGATTAATTTCTGCTTCCACTAAATACTACATTTCTGGATCAGTGGATATTGTTTCGTATTGTTATCAATTCATCATAAATCTACCTGTATAAAGAATCAAATGTACTATCACAAATTCAGATAACAACACTGATGAGAACACGTAAAGTTTGATTTAAAATTCTGGGCGGCCCTGAAGAGAGCCGTTCGATCGAAATATGCTCCCTAGATTGGATCAGAAAGTTACCACCCTCTCACTAGATTGGACACTACTCGGCAACTTGCCTCCAGACGCTAAAAAACATTCTTCATCACCAAACTCTTCTCTCCAGACGAACTATTCCATATATGTTGGAAGAAGATCAAGGTCTGTCCCATACCATGCCTCATGATTTGCTTTAAATATCTGCCGCATTGATTCAATCCCGTTCTTGCACCGGATCAACGAAGTTTTTCGAATATTTCACGGTTTAGTTTGTACAGATTCGCGCTAGCTTTTCAAATCACCATACACTGGTCATAAACTGATGTAAAAGTAGATCCCTTCACGATGTCGCTGACAGAAAAACCGCTAGTATTCGTTGCATCGTATCTCATATTTCGTGTGCATTCACCACATTTTTTTTCGTACACTCGTGATCAGCTAGATCAGATCTAAATAATACATGTAATTCATCTTGAAAAACCGCGGTAATCTTGTCACCGTTCCAGCCTTTCACCGTAGCATCATTACTACGGTCACTATCAGTACTGCTGTAGCACTGAAACATACACACGTATCTTACCAAGGCATATATTTTCATTGTAGCCGAGCGACTCTTGTTTCCTTCAAAATCTACGAACAACTCACATGAATGCGTTGTGATGAAGACTGCTGCTAATCGACTGCAACTCTTCCAGGTACTCTTCTAGTTTAACTGTCACAGTGCTCAAATTGAGCAAAATTTTTCAAGTCCCGGAGAGAAGGTTTCTCTACGCTTTCATTACGAACGTCGCGTGTATCGCTCATCATGTCCTTCTAACAGTTGAGAGGTTTTTTCAATGAAGACAATGGAGAGGCAGAGAGAACGACGAATGTAAATACTACAGAATTGCTGGTGATCATAATGAAGCCGTTAACACGATTGTAAATGCTTCATGCACCTGAATTTCAAGGATTCATTTAAATCTAGAGGTCATGCGTGACAGTCTTGACCTCAGGGGTTGTTTTCGTGTTTCTAAACAGAAAACAAGCATAGCCTCGGGATCGCAGCAGTGAGACGATTCCTTACTTTTCAAATCTATCAGAGGCTTTAGGATAATCACTTCGTTGTGTGACCGTATGAATGAGCTTGACGTAGTTATTAAGATTGGCATAAAGGATGATGAAAGGTTTGCATCACTTGGTTTGATGGATGAAACTGAACGTGGAACAAGTAGGGTCTATCGACCGGTACATCTCTGGAAGGTGTTCATTTACCTGCGAAGGAGACTATCATTGCCCAGGTGCACGCAGCCATACCTCAGAATGAGATGAATAAGTGAGTCCTACTATCGAACAGTAGTCCCAATACCTCAACTAATTGATGCATTCATCATAGACGCATAATGAAAAGGCACAGTTAAGAGAGGGAATGAGACAAAATACACAAAACAGAGATGCGAAGCAATCGATGGGCACAGACAGTGACCGTCGAATGAGAGAGAGATCTTGGACTATGAAAAAATTCTGTTCACTTTGAGCAATGCGACAGTTGAACTTTAAGAAGGGTACCGTTGCTAGCCGCGCATGAAATCATCGATTCATTGCTGTTCACTAACCATAACTGTCAACATTTGCCACCATAATTCGTTTGTTTTTTTTTTCATTCTAATTGAGAATAGCAATAACTTTGTATTGCATTGCTCAAGGCTTATCACGGATGTTTACTTGAGATTGGTAGAGAGCCAAGTCACGCCTAATACGATGGTTTTGTAACGATGGAAAAATGAGATTGTATATTACGTTATTTTTTACATTTTTTTCGATTGAGTGCAGGGAATCTACCCTGGCTTATACTCTCTCTCTCTCTCTGTTTACCAGCTGAAGTATCAGCAAAACTGGTGCACCACCGTCTGTCTATGTTCGCAACAATCGAGTACCGTGTGTATATTTCTCGTATCCTCCTAACAGCACCATCCAGTCAGTCACATCACAACACTATTAAATCAGCTGATGTTTTTGCTTTCTCATCGCAGTTTTTTCCTTGTGTTAAAATAGTTGCGCAATACTATATGAACTCATGGAGGATGTAATGTGCTGCTGCTGCTGCTGCTGCTGCTGAAAAGTGCTCATCATCGTTATGATAATGTTAAAAATAGATTTGCATTGTTATTCCGATTGTTATTATTATTGTCATTGTTATAACTTTATCATGGCTTAATTGTTCGTTCCCGTTAGATTTTTGTGCGATATTGATTGACGATAATTTTTAATGAATCCATGATCAGTAGCTTGATAGTGTGCATACATCCAAGCGATTACTGCCTTACATGAACATCTGATGAGAATGGATTATTCACTCGCTAACATTAATTATTGTCATTGTTATATTTCTAATCATTGTTGTTAACATTCTTACTATGGTAGGTTTTACTTTGCAATTTACTTACCTCAGTCATATTATTGTAACTGAAATGTTCTCTCATATCGTTAACCGGTGAAGAGCTGATGTTTGAATGGAATTGAACTGATTTAGTAATTGAAGTTATTCTAAGTTAGTTATCGTTAACAGCGAACAGTGTTCATGTGCGCGTTTTATTTTATGAATTCATTACGGAAATGCTTTTTATTTGCACACAAAATGCATGCATGAATTTTACGTTCGAAATCTAAAAACTGATATGATGAGCTGAATAGTAAATGTAATAAAGGTTTGTTGCACGAGATAAACTTTGCAATAGTGACATGTTGATGAAACGCAGTGTTACATTTTTGATGAATTTATTTCAGTTTTTTTCTGTTGTAAACTTTATTCGTTGGAAATGAATTAGAATCAAATCACATTGCATCCTCCACTACAAAATTGCTTTCAATGTTAAGATTAATCTAAATCGCTTAACTAGTCAACCTATAAAAAAATTATTTCTTTTCATGTTCTAAATGAGGACGAACGCAGAATGTTTGAGGTATTGGATTCATCAAGTGTAGGTTTTCGTAAGAGGTTGCCCTCAAAAAGTGACAAAAAATGGCCAAGAAAGGATAGTATCGGCAGCAAAGAGAGCAAACAACGATCTCCATCAACTCTAGAAATGCCCAATAAAAGTATCAACGAACGCTGCAACTTTTTCGAGGATGAGCAGGCGTGTATTCGCATCAATCATTTTTACATCATCCTCTAGCCAAACGACTTTCTTTCATATTTTCCAAATGATGCCGTCGTGATCAGCTACATCCCCTATTTGATTTCTATACGTTCATCATTTGCATCCAATCAGCACAAATTGTTCTAGAATTAATTGATTCATCACGTTCCTTTCAACAGATAGACACTTGTTTCAATGAAAGATTAGCACAGAAAATGATTCATTCGCATGTCAGCGAGTGATGCTCATAATGCTACCGATAAATCTGCAGGTTCAAAAGACTGGTTCGATTTTCGAGCGTCGAACCGATATGGAGTATTTTAAAAGCGCACTTCCGCGTTATCGCCTTAATGGTTTTCATGTGAAGGTGAATGTTCTTTCATTGAGATTTCAACCAGCATGCTGTTACTTGTTCAATGCGATATTTATGAGCGAAAAAATCCCATTTTTTCCTGTAACGTAAACTGTTGAGCCTTAAATGCATATTGGCATGTCTAGTTTTTTACGTAACTGAAATCAAATATACTTATATGCATATGAATGCATAGTAATGAAACGGCTGGTTGAAGATGGAAGACGATTGTCCACAAGGGGGTGACGATGTTCGTTTGTCAGTTCTGAGAGTGCTGGGCAGTTACAATCGTCGCTCGATGCCGTGTGTCTTATGCGCACACAATTTGATTGTTTACGACCGCTATCCGCTACTTGATGGCACATTCTTTCTATCACCAGTTCAACATTCTAAAGCAGCACTTCCAATGAAATTCGAATCGAAGTATTCATTTATCACTTACTAATATTATCACCATTGCAGTTGAAATGTGACTCAACACTATGGCACTTTTTTTTGTTCCAAAGCCTCTCCCCCTCTGCGAAAGGATTCCCTCGTGATGATTCATGCACCCGCAGGGGGACCAATCCGAATACTTATTAAACAGTTTCAGAAGTGCATATTTACATGCGATCTGTATTGCATGTATGCATACAAAATGGGCATGTGTACGTTGTGCTCGTAGTGATTGGTTTTTGGGGTCATCGTTAGTGGTTGGCACTTTGTATATGTATGATGTTCTGTCAACGTCGCTATGTTGTCCACCGATGTGTAGAAGTTGCTTGAGTCCAATGCTGATGACCGATTGGCAGAGAAGTTCAATGGAAAAGGTTCGTTAATCGTCGCTTGTTTGGAGCCAATTTACAACTAAACTCCTAGAAAGTGTTAGCGATTGACGACAAGAAGCGATAACTCAAGGAACATCTTTGATATTCTCACAACTTCTTTACAAAATAAGACTGAATGAGGGAGGTGGCGTGAAATTATTCACGACTCTTTCACTAAAATTGTATCCTTTGTACGAAATGTATTAATCGATTCATTTCAAGAAGAGATTGACTACTTTAAATGTACGTGGGATTTAACGAATCGAATTCAGAATTGAAAGGCATTGGATTTGGTGAGAGTTGAATGAAATGAAGCAACATCTGGATGAAACTGCCAAATAATCATTGTCATGTTAAGGGTAATTTCAATCTGTTCACCGAGCAGACACGCTGTTCAGCTTGTGGTCGTCAAGATTTTCATCACATCAGAAGAGCGAACAATTTCAAGTTTTGCGACAATGATTTATAAATTTGTTTCTGGTGATCGGTCAACGCAAAAAACTGTTGAGATAATCAGATTGAGTTGTTAGTTAGTGGTTTTCAAACGTTCCAATGAATAACGTTGTTACGTTACCATGTGCATGTGCGATGACCTTTAATCCACCGTTCTTTGCGTATTTTGTTGCGTCGGCTAATACATTCAACTGTATGGCCTTATCTTAGTTTAAGCGCAAAATTCCGCTTAATTCCCCAATAATATTTTCCAACTTTCCTCAGTACAAGCACTTTGTTTGTACCGTTTCTAATCTATCGCAGTTGTGCAAATTTTTAGTTCGTGTTTTTGTGGAATTGCTTTGTGATTATTCACATGCGGTATGAACTTCAGCTTTATGTAATATTGTTGTCACCGTACAACTAACCATCCAATTAATTGTTTTATTCCATTATTTTGTGTAAATCAATCGTATTAAATAAATCGGACCTCGTCTCAAGCTATCTATCTCACGAAATTATGCGCTACAGTCACCGTTTCCACAACTTCCAGAAATCTTATTAGAAACAGGATAACGTTTAAAGTCCCTCTTCAATCAAGAATTGCTTGATTTTGTTCCAGCAAAAAATCGAAATCGTGAATTGCAGTCGGCCATGACCGTCGACTATCGCGCTAGACGTGGAAACCTTGGCCCCACCGCGTGATTCTCCCCTTCTACAAAACTACCTCCGCCAATTTTTACCTTGTCATCGATTTATTTTTCATATTGCATTGTTGTGTTATTTGTTTATTTCGCTTCAAAGAAATTATCGCTGCACCATGTCGTAGTGCAATTTCAAACGGTGCGTTGTATATCATTTAGTCATTGTCGTTGCGATCGCATCTAGTTTTTTCTCGCTTTCTGTAAATAACACATTATAGAAAAGCATAAACTTCTAATAAACCACGTTTCAGTCCGAATAAAATTATCCTATCCGTTTCCTATTTGTTTCTGTATTATGCGTTATCTGCATCAACTACTGTTAGTGTCCGCAAAATCCCGACCATTCTTCAACTCCGGGGTGGAGATTAAATCCTTAGGATCAGTTTTCAATCAGGGCATTGAAAAACAAACACAAACGGAACATAAAACATGGAAAAAGTGATGACGAAAGGCGAAGTAACAGTGATAAGACCGCAAAATTTTTGCTTACCACTCTGAAAAATGAAAGCTGAGGCTGTACTACTACGTAATAATTCAACTTATTACCGCTTAGGTGGCAAATGACAAGTACTGAATACAAATGAAGTGGTAGTGACCAGTACTTGATTCAAGATGAGCATGTCTGTAAGATGGNATGGCGTGTTTTCTCGAGTCCCGAAATATCTAGATTTTTCAAAACAAGTCTCGGGATTAGGATTCAGTAATCGGGATCTCGTGGAAATATTGGTTACTACCATGATGAGTCAGAATCAACGCGTATCAACATTTAGCAAACGATTTGAAAAGTGGGGAAGATATTGTGAGAATTCTGATACTTATTTTCTCGCCACAAGCGCTTTACAGATGAGTGGGACACGAGGCAGTGCGAAGCCTTTATTTTCGCTTCGATTTGAACACGCACTACGCCCGTGCGTGTGCACACATCAACTTTCTTTATAACACAATGCGCTAGACAACCACGCAAAGAAATGTAAAACTTTTCGCATTCACTTCTAACTTAACTCATTTTCATGAAGTAGTTTAACTTTTTTCTTCCACAATAAAAAGTGTATTTATTTGAGAAAAAAAAAAACTCCTTCAAAGCTATACAAACAAACAACGTATGAAATACAAAACAATTATATTTATTAAAGAAACTCTAACAACAGTATATGCAACGTCCCGATTCAACGACGCATGACAATTTTATTTTTAAATAACTCACTAAGACTGCTGAAGAATATATAAACAAAGGTAGACGACTGCAGAGCGCATTAATCACTCCTTGAGCAAGACATTGATACTTGTCTAAAGGAGTAGAACTGAACGAGCAGCATCTTACCATTAGCAATAATCAATCAACATTTATCTAATGTTTGAAACCAGCTAAAAATGAAGAGACCAATTCTTTGAGTCGAGTTTCGGTGGCTGGTGAGATGCTACCTTCTTCACGAATTGTTTTCAGCAAATCTTGTTGTGTTTGTTGAATATGTGCTAAGAATTCCTTCTCGAATCTCGTTATCAATAAAGGATCAAGTTTATCCAAATGTCCTCTTACTCCTGCATATATCACAACCACCTAAAAATATGCGATCATTACTCTGTATCTTTTAACGGAATGAAACATTAAACACCGAGTCAATCCACCTAGACATGATCAGACACTATTTGGAAATCGTAATTAGTGAGCAGTCCATTCAATCGACAAATTCAAAAAACAGAAACTAGAAGTTAACCTGTTCTTCAATAGCCATCGGTACATACTGTCCTTGTTTGAGCAATTCCGTGAGACGTACACCTCTGTTCAACAACTGCTGTGTAGCTGCATCTAAGTCAGAACCGAACTGCGCAAATGCGGCTACCTCTCGATACTGAGCCAATTCCAATTTCATTGAACCAGCCACCTAAATCAACTGAATATTCATCCACCCACTACTTACATATAAACATAACTTTTCCACGAATGTTGATCACGGACCACACACATGGTGGAACTGCACTGTAATGAGTACGAGTGAGAATTGGAAGTTCCATTGAGGTAAATCAAAACCGAAGATAAAAGAAGAAAGAACAATCGCTTTGAAACGAGCACTGTTTCAATAACCATCAACCAATTCCATTCTTCAGAAACACTCAAAACATATTCACGCTCTTAAACCTTAACAATAACTTACGCCCTTCCACCTGTTCCAGCCCCAATCAGATGGTACGGCAATTTCGCGAACACAACTTTCGACTGTTAAAAACTCACAACTTACATGTGGAATAAAATACGAAACGCGTGTCAAATGCATGTTCAGACGTCATAAAAGATGCTGGTTTTATGGTTAACGAAACTGTATCCAACTGATACATATCCGAGTTATACGTTTATAATTCTCAACTGCTCATTTTTAGACATTACAGAACGAGAAAACAGTACGTCGACACCATGTCAGGGCATAAAGTGAATTCGTAATTGCATTAATCACCGATCAAAATCGAAACCGCATTACCAACCTGCTTCATGGCCTTTGTTTGAGCAGCAGACCCTACTCGTGATACAGATAATCCTACGTTGATCGCTGGACGAACACCCTTATAGAACAATTCGGTTTCTAAGAAGATTTGACCATCAGTAATCGAAATGACATTTGTTGGAATGTACGCAGATACGTCACCAGCTTGAGTCTCAATTACTGGTAATGCAGTCAACGAACCTCCTCCATGTGTTTCATTCATCTATAACTATCAAGTAGCCATTAACCGAAGACTGTTCACTCAAACATATTCACATTTCATTCCAGCCACTAGAATAAGAGATTTAAAAACGATTTCCATCAAATCTACTAACAATGTGCTGTTCACAAACAAACAACTCACCTTGGCAGCTCTTTCAAGTAATCTAGAATGAAGATAGAAAACGTCGCCAGGATAAGCTTCTCGGCCTGGAGGACGACGTAACAGAAGAGACATTTGCCGGTAGGCGACAGCCTGTTTCGAAAGATCGTCGTAGATGATGAGCGCATGTTTGCCGTGATCACGGAAGTACTCACCCATAGCACATCCAGAGTACGGAGCTAAGTACTGAAGAGGAGCAGCATCTGATGCTGTGGCCGATACGATGATAGTATAATTGATAGCACCACTATCTGTTAGACGCTTCACAATCTGAGCGACGGTCGAACGTTTCTGACCGATGGCTACGTAGATACAATACAGTTTCTTCTTTTCGTCGTTGCCAGCATTGAAGCGTTTTTGATTTATTATTGTATCGATCGCAATTGCCGTCTTTCTGAAACATTTTCGCTTGAACATTTCGCATAAACGCCTTGCTAAATACCAAACCCATTTTATTTATGTGAGTGCGAGCAACATATCACATAGCAGAATGTTTTGAACAGAATGAAAACAAAGCCGTTACTACACTCTGCAATCATTTCGAAAGCACAAGAGTTTAACACAGTAAGAAATGTACCCGGTTTGACGATCACCAATAATAAGTTCTCGTTGTCCTCTACCGATTGGTACGAGCGAATCGACAGCTTTGACTCCAGTTAACATAGGCTCACGCACCCCTATACGCGGGATGATACCTGGCGCCTTCACACCAACCCTTGATCGTTCCTTACACTTGACTGGACCTTTACCATCAATTGGATTACCCAAAGCATCCACAACTCGACCAAGTAAGGCCTCGCCAACAGGCACATCCACAATGGCACCAGTTCGTTTAACGATGTCACCTTCTCGAATTACTTTATCATTACCGAACACCACAACACCAACATTATCGACATCCAAGTTCAGCGCCATACCCTACAATTACACTCACTGCTACAGTAAGGCATTCGCACAACTTATTTACATCGAATATAGTGCCATTATCTTGTAAAAATTCGAGATTATGTTAAATAACGACAATAACACCACTGAATGCAAAAAATATTATCTAATAATAGTGAACGCATCGCACCGATAATTCCATTGATGATTCCAGCAACACTCAGTAATGAATTATTCGCTCAAACGCGGAAAATGAATTCAATAACGCAATTCAACAAATTCAAATTATTCTGAAATTTATCGATACAGTCGAATGCGCCAGGAAAAGTCAAAATCTTTCGAACAAAACAACGAACCGAACATGTCGTGTATGAACTGAATGGACAATTTCAAAAAGAAGACTCACCTTCATACCAGAGTCGAATTCAACCATCTCTTCCGCTTGAATATTCTTAAGACCATAAACTCGAGCAATACCATCTCCGATTGATAATACTTTACCTGTCTCTTCAAGATTTATGCTCACTTCTTGACCCAAAATGCGATCTTCCAGAATTTTCGAGACTTCTGCTCCAACAGCTGCGCATTGACGAGAACTTGTACTCAACGCACTTGTGGATGCCTGAACTAGTTTTTGAAAGCAATTATCAACTGAGAGGCACATCCAAAGCGAAAACTCAAAATTTTCCGCATGCAGTAGTAAATCACCTGATCAGGTAAAATAATTTAGATCACACCAGTTTGAAAAAAGAAATCCATCACGAAAACCTAGCCAGAGTATCGTTTGACACAGAACGTAATCACCACGAATGCATAACTACAAATCTGTTACGCACGTCCACCAAAAAAAAAACACTCATCTGAGTCGTACGACAGATTTGCAGAAGTAGTGATATTTGGATGAAGTGGAAAATAATTCCCTCAATTTTCACTTTAACTACAATGTTCTGAAAATCCTCTCAACTGAATAAAGCTCAATGGCATTCAGTTGTTGTTCATGTAACTGTTACCAATTAATCCGAGAACGGGAATGTAATCAAGAATTCTTTTGCAAATATAAAAACAACTCAGTTTCGAAGGACTCCCCATTCAACCTCCCAATTTCAAGAATGACGGGTTGCAAATGAGGCGTGTGAAAGAGGTTAATGTAACGTCATCGAACCACAGCTCTACGAAACTTTCACCAGCACTTCATTTGTTAAAATTACGCACAACCTTATCAAATAACTCGGAAATAAGATCTATAAAATTACCTTCAGAGATCTTCCAACAGCGGCTAAAATCCCTCTCGACAACATTTTGCGACCTTCCGAAACTCACGGTCCCAACTTCCCTGAACAGTTAAACCGCCTGGCAATGCGTTCACTCAGCTAAAATTCCAAAACCTCTCTAAATATATGCATGGCAAAATGGCTGATAATCTCTTACGACGAATTCATTTTACGATATTTATGAATGTTGGCATGATAATCCTAACTGATCGTACTATAGTTTACAGAATTTGCGTTAAAGGGACCGATCACATCCGGATGTATAAATTTTGGAAGGTTTTTAACTTCGTTCCTTTGTGCTATGTTCCTATTATAATGGACAATGGAAGCATGACTTTTGAATATAGTTTATCTTCATTTAGTATGATAGCTATTAGAGAAGAGGTTGGACGTTTTGTTCCGGAACGAATAGCCATGTAATGAACTTTTCAATACGTTGATTCGAAATGTTGAATGATACAATTTCATCTTCTGAGCGATGCAATAATCGAGCGGGTTTTGTGGAATCATTTCTGGGTGAAAGGGTGAATAGCGTATGTCGTTCAGCCGTGGATTTATCATGATCGTGGGAATATTTCTTATATTTCTCGTTGGGATACTTATTTCTTTTTATTTATTTCTTCATATTATACCGTTTACGTTGAAAAACATCGCAATGTTTTGTACTGAATTAGAGCTTAATATCCCTGAAACCTTTGATCATGTGCATGAACTGAATATGCTCAATAGGTGTGAACCACCGAAATAATGGAGTGAACGTTTCGTTTGATGTGTGAGGAGTATTTTGAACCTCAGTTATTGCACCTAAAGTTTCAAACCCTTCGAAATTCCTTTATTCTTGCTTCACGTACCATTTAGAGTTGAACTGTGTGTCCGAGACGTTCTACTATTCTAACTAGTTTTTCCAATTATACAAAACTTTTATATCCTGATTTCATCTTTCATTACTTTTATAAGGGTATGTACCCCCCCCCCCTCCCCAAAGTAAACAAGTGCCCATAAATGTTCACCAAATAATCAGATATTTAATCAGTAACTTACCATTCTTTCAGTTCATTTTGCAAAATTGAGATCGACATAACTCTGGTATAATAATTATAATGGGATTCCTTAGACTCAGCGTTAGCCACTCAAGATTTGAATAAATACATGACAAATGCTAATGTGATGTTTACTACCATCCTTTACTACCACAAAAGTTTTTATGGCGTTTTAGATGGCTCGATAAAATATTGTCTGGTGTATTTCAAATGAGTGTTTAATATAAAACAATCATCAGTTTTCAGTATAACTCTGGTATAATTTCCATCTACAACTAAACGAATGGATACGAGTACCAATCAATCGTCAGTGATAACACCACCAAATGCTGCCGCGCCTTCAACCTCCAACTACAAGTTCGTTCAGTTGTAATTTTTCTTTTTGTATTTGAACTATTCATCTGAATGAATTAGTGATTATCTCTAGGGAGAGCGCCTATGAAGGAACACAGAAAGTTCGACGCTCGTTACGAGAGATAAAAAAGCCGAAATTCGATGATGAAATAGTGGATAGTGCTGTTACACAAAAAACAATAACGAGGAAGCGAGTGGCCATTGAACGTATGCATCATTCACCGGATAATTCTGAAATTAATGCGGTAAAATTATATTCATTTGGATGTTTGTGGAATGAGCAGTATGCAGTGAAGAAGGTCAATTATCCTTTGTTGTAAATGAGCTTTCATTCGAAATTGAAGGAGAGAAATGAAAATGGCTATTCATTATCGAAAATTTGTATTCGTAAACGACCGCGTCTTATCGATATATCTGGTACAAGCTCTTCATCAGTCAGCGAAGAAAAGCAGCAACAACCGCAACAGTCGAAGAAATCTGTCATTCTGTCACAGTTGCCTTCACCAGTTCTCGTCGATAAGGTCACTGATCTTATTTTCTGTGAAATGGGAGTGCTATTTGCTTATCACCACATAATCAGTTCTTCTTGCAATTTCATTATTTTTAGATCTGACCCTAAAGCTAAATAATTTAGCAACATGAATTACAGAAGTGAATTTCTTTTAGATGTCTTATTTTAGTGACACATTTTTTATATTATTTTTTATGACTAACATATGATAATAATTGGAGGGTTACAGAAACGTCGTGAAAGAATTGCAAGTAAAGAAGCTCGGACGAAAGAATTAGCCAACGCAGCATCACAGAATACAGCTGCATCGGCAAACGTCTTAGAATCGTTGAAAAAATGGACTGCAACTGACGATTTGCAACTTGTTGTTGCTGTTCAACATGTCTCTTCTTAGTGTCATTATTTTCAACTTTATCATTACACATTTCATTTTTCTGATCTTTCGCTGAAAAAATTACTCAAATGGGCCATCAGATTCTGAGTTTTTTAAATGGATTTATTGCGAATGTCCAATTTTTTAAAACTTTGTGTTATATGCACCGTATAAAATCATGATAACAATTGAAGCACACTTCTGGTTCAATGCAGTCTTCTTGTCTAAAGCATTGCTCTTGTATTTTCTGTCATAAGTAAAAGTGGTAACCAAATTATTTGTTTACATTTCCCAAAATAAGTTACATAGAAATTTCTGAAACCATTTCTTTCAGACCTGCAGTTTACAAGCAGTTCGTATTCATGTAAATTTTTCTCGTCCATTCACGCTTTCTGAAATTGAAGAACGTTGGTACGAATTACTATATGATGAGGTAGGTGATCACCTTCATCTTGCATGCTTATTGTCTGCATTTTTCAAATTGCATCAAAATGAATGTCAAATTTTTGAAAAAAAGTTCCCAAATTTGATCTCTTCATCAGTGTTATATTATGAGTATTCTTCGTGTTTCCGTATCTTGTACTGAAATTTTCTCAGCGGTCAATATAATGATTATTGAAACAAAGTAAAAATAGTGATGAATGGATGGATCAAATAATTCAGGCCGTATCGAGTATTGCAAGAAAACGGATGTATGATCTACCTGCAGAAACGATACGTTCAATTCAGTCAAGAACTGTTTTCAACATACGTGAACATCAGATATTATTTCGTATCCCGTCCACAGCTCCAAATCAGATCTCTACGTTTGAACAAGTATATTTTTCATTTTCTCCTTTCTGCTCTTTTTGTTTTTATTTATTGATTCGCTTTAAATTTTGTTCTCAGTCCCAGTACATTGCGATAAACATCTTGCAATAGAAATAGTATAATCACGGTCCGAGATGAAATTATTGATATTAGTTGTTTAGATATACAAATAATATTGTGGCACTTTTTACTTTGGAGTGGGGTCGCACGCGAGCAAGCTATACCGAAGCCACGCCTACTGCGCATGGCTTCAGCCTAAGCGTAGTCTCAGCCTAAGCCTAAGCCTGAGCTCGCTTGCTGGCCTCTGTTGTAGCATCGAGCGATCTGAGGCTACGCTTAGATGAGGCTGAGGTCACACTTAGGCTGAGGCCNCCCCCCCAAGTAAAAAAGTGCCAATATCGTTAGCAGTACGATAATTTAATAATGTCATTATTAGGTTTTGAAAGAACACAGCAAATCGTTTCATCACGCACGCACCGCTGAAGTATTGTTGGAGCATTGGCGAAAAATGAAATCTTGGCATCTATTAATTGATCAAAACGGAGTGACATCAGCAAATGAAAAAGAAGCTTCAGCGTTGTTTTATATGGAACGAAATAAAGATATTAATTTGGCTGGTGACTGGCAGTTAAGTGTGAACGAAGCTCGATCTTCATCTGGGTTGTCACGCACGGATCGAGATACAGTTACGAGCACAAATCATTGGGGGGAGATCGTGACGTCACGGTGGCCACCATCTCCGAGAGTTAGTTTTTGTCTTTTGTGTTTCTTTATTTTTATTCTTATCGCAAATTGACTTGTCATTTCATCGGTTACTTCTAATTTCAATAATCCTCACTTTCATTCCTCCGTCATTTAATCCTGTAAGTTATTTCTTTCGATTGACGTTGCAACATAAAGCTCATAAAACTTGAAAAGCTTCTTGTGATTTAGATGAAAATTGGGCAGCTTTTTGCATTCGATCGTTAAAATATTTTTTCTCTGAAAAGCAAAATCTCGAAATATTATCAGTCGTGATTTGGTGAAGTGTTGGAATATTTCAATATTTCATCATTTAGACCTGTCATTTCGATTGAAAGATAATACGCGTTGCATTGTTCCTTTCTTATTCATTTTTGTTACCTGCTTTCTTGTATTGTTATAATCAGAGTTGATTTACTATCTAAACATTCACAACTGTCACTATCTGAACGTTTACAACTCGTCCATAATAAGAAATTATTTGTCTTGATCAGAATCACTGAATAAGGAAATTACTCCTATTTCCGCGTGAGAACCTGATCATTGTTAGACAATCACCATTTAAATTTGAAAAAAAAATTGAAACTTCTTAGTATTCTAAAAATGTCATGCTTCTTTCTACCAATGGAAATACATAGGAGAGTTACAGTTGCATTGTTGCTATACATTAACACACACTGTAGACAGCCACAGTAATTCTCTGCTCTCCTTTCTAAATATAATACTGCAGGGGAAATAATACTGCAAATGAAGATCGGTCTGTTTTGTGCGTCAGGTTGTGAATGAAAATATTGCAGATGTGAAAATGAAAAAAAAAGAAGATTACTTGAATGAAATGAAAATTACTGAATTAATTTGAAAAATGAAAATTTGAAAAAAGTATCTGAATTACTTGTATCTTACTGAAATATTTGTATCTCCTTCTTTATTTAAAAAATTACTGAAACTAATAAAAAAACTGAAAAAAAGAAGAATGAAAATCTGCAACATTATTCTTGTTGCAGATATTGTAATTCTTTCAAATAATTACCATGGTCATGATTACATTTTTTCCGCGGTTTGGTCTAATTTTAGAGCAAACTTATCATAATGATAACTTCAATGTGACAATATTTCAAACCTTTAATTCGATATTCGTTCACATAATGCTTATTAGTGCGCTACATTTCTTATACGGTTCAACACGTTAGATTTTGCGAAGATTCTGTGATCATTACTGATGTTTACTGGGTTCAGATGTCCTGTTATTTCTTGTTATTATTATTGTTATTATTATTATTATTATTATTACTATTATTATTATTGTTGTTATTGTTATTATTATTTATTATTTTTGTTATTATTATTAATAGTTGTAGTAGTATCATTATTAGTAATAATATGATCACTGATGTCATCATTGTTCCTGCCGTTACCATTCTTGGTGGTCAGCTCGCAACCGAGAGCTGAATCGTCAAGTTTCATGCAGCATCTGTTAGCCCATAGAATTTTAAAGCGACTAGCAATGATATTCAGGTGAATGTAGAGGCAGTAAGTGGTGTGTGGAACGAAGCGCAGATGGGTGAAGGAGTGTGGGCTGTTTTGAAAGGACGTCTCATGAGGTATGCAATCCGTGGCAAGCGAGTTCTCATCGGTAGAAATACCGCCAAACATGAGGTCTGTTCACTCACCATTTTAATTTACTTGTGTTGTATTACCCATTACTCATATCGAATCATTTTGTTTCGATTACTTTCCAGATAAATAATATTCACTAAATGCAATCGTTTATTTCAAAGATGCTGGTTTTATTCCTCAGTCCACATAACTCAATGAAAAACGAAATGGATCTTCCATTAGTGCTATTTCAAAAAGCTATCAAATAACCCCAGTGTGCCACTCCCAATTTCACCGAGTTATTTAGATGCTTTCAATTTTTTCTTCCATCTTAGCTGAATTTGAATAAATATGTGCGTGTTTAACGTTTGCGTTTCAAATATTCTTGTTGAAAGTTTATAATAGAATTATATATTTATGCATCAATCAATGAAGTTAGCTGATAATATCGTCAATTAATAACCGATTTGAAGAAAGTGTCATGTATCGTAACAGATGTAATATAAAGTGCAAAAAATTATCATCAAATAATTAACTGCTATAATCAATATCAGTCGCGCGGTTTCCGTTCATAAATGACTAAGCAGATCGATTTCATCCAATTTCGATTACATCTGATAAGAAAACTGTCATCTTCCCTTCCAGTTAATAAATCATTATCGTCATCATGGTCGTTCTCTTCCAAAAACATTTCATATAAATTATCATCGCTATCAATCAGCGCATTAATTTATGAATGCACACAACCAATAGTTATCCCATACGGACTGTTGGACACTACTAAAGTCATGAATATTGTTGAATCGTAATAGTAACTCGTTGATTGTTATTAAGGTGGATGTGAACTTAAAACTGGAAGGCCCGGCAGCACGTATCTCACGTAAACAGGCATTACTAAAATGTCACACGGATGAGAGCACTGGCTCAGTACAATGCTTCATAAATAATGTCGGTAAACGACCAATCTTTGTGGATGGTAAAACGGTTTTGGAAGGGAGTAAGGCGAGAGTGTTTAATAATTCGGTTATCGAGGTGGCTAATATACGACTCGTTTTTGTAGTCAATTCGAATCCGATTACACAAACGGATGCTGCTACCGCTGCCAATCATAACAATAGTTATCATATTGATAATAATAACTGCAGTACGATAGCATCTGTCGCTCCTTCAAATACAGTTGTAACCACTGACCAACAATGATAAAATAGTTACTTTATATAAATATTACAATGCTCACTGATGTTGCTGCCGAGTTGTTCATGTTGATATCATTATTAATATTGTTGTTGCTCTTTTGTTGTGCTATGTACTTGTTGTGCTAGTACCACCTACTTCAGGCACCCTGAAAATCATTCTTTTTATAAAGATACATCATTTCATTCAATAGTATGGAAATTCATTTGAAACACAATTTCGTTGTTTTACTAGTAAACTTTTTACTTCAAAAGAAACAGACGTAAGTAAGTAGCAATGCTGAACTACTCTTTTTCTTTTGGATCAGTGTACAACAGATTCGTATGAAGTTGTTTTCAAATTTCCAGAGTACAATGAATTACGAGAGAGTAATTTTGAATTAAATATTTTGAAATAATTATGGTCAAAAATATTCCTAAGTAAACATTTTATAATTATGAACGTTGTGTTGTATTTCATGCATGGCGAATGCTCAGTTAGTTAGTGAATGAATAGATCATTAATAAAACTTCATTTTACTTATTTCATCGATTTTGATAAAATATTAATTGGTTTAGCCGAGGTAAACCGCAATTCAACAACGAGGAGTATATGTTGGAAGTGTGGTGGAATTGTTTTTATCTCGACTTTGCACTGAAACTGAAGCTGTACATGTTCATATGCGTTGAAATCAGTGTTTAAGATATGTAACTCGTTTTTGGATTAAATGCCGTAATCATGATGTTTATCGCCTGCTCCGATAGTGAAATATCAAACGATCACATTAGTCAGTGATACTTAACGTGTGATGTACGATTTGATTGGAACTCACCTTTGGGTTTGTGTCTTTACTGGAAGAGAATCGGAGCTGAGTTGTTTTGGTAGTGAACTATGTGAGTTATCATCACGACTCATCTTATGCTTCGCGGTTAATGGTGTCTTCTTTTGATTGCCCATATTGAATACAAAATTCCTCCAGCCTAGTCGCCTTGATCCCTTGAATAATGAACGATTTGCTCTGCTAACTTCGAAAAGGCAGCGAATGCAATGAACGATCAATGTTTGCTTAGCACTCAAATGAACACTCTAACATGCGTTCCTTGACTTTAATCTTTTCATGAACATTCACAAAGTACTTAAACTGAATAAAAAGATTATGAATAAAGCACCTGTTGTTGTGCAGCTGAGAGGACACCTTTATAAATTTGGGACCGTACGAAACGTGGGTATGAGTCTTTACTCATCAATGTGAACACGTGCTCTTCGGCTGGTGAGAATGCATGCCTTCTTGCCACTGTCTCATCATTTAAACATTTCAAAGTATTCTCTAATGTTCGAGAATCCACATTGACCTCAAATTTTCAGAATTCAGTTACAATATAACAAAAATTAAATAAATCAATAAGTAGATAAGATTATTTATTTTTACAAAATCATTGCGGTTTGCCCGCTCATCTCATCTACATTTGCCCTGCTAGTTGTTCAACATAATTGCCGAAACTGTGCTGAATTTAATAAACGATTGTTGCAACAATCGCTCGCGAGGAATTTCTCGTCGAAGTTATTTCTCATAAGCACTTAGTTGGGCTGAGCGGATAATAACCTCGCAAGCTGTGGCTTTAGTAAAAAAATGATGGGAAGAAGAGTCAATAGACGGTTAGTTTCCTCAGCTGAGGAATATTGTTGACGAGACTGGATGGTTTTTTTAAAAAGCAAATAGAATGTAATGAATTGTAATCGTTGGCTTCGTGGGTACAACAAATAAATTTCGATAGATTCACCTGGCAAGGGGCGCCAGTTGCAAGGAATTCTTCGTAGATACGTTGCGCTTTTTCGTCAACGTTTTCATTGGCAGCAAATTTCAGTTCTTGAATCGCCATCCAAAAACGAATATTTTCGGAAGAAAATTCACTTTCGAGGAAAGTTTCGAGAACCTGTCGTCCAATAGGGTCACGAACCAGTTCCTGGACCGATAAACCCCATCGCTTTACCCGACGTTCCGTTGGCACTTCGACCCTGTGAAAAAAAGAGCATTTTAACCATCACACCGCTGGAATTTTTTTGTGACATCGGAGAAGCAGACCCCTTAGGCTTGGCTCATATAAATAAACGCTCCGTCATCAAGCCTTCAGGTGGACAAGCACCGTAAGGCAGCAACATGACGGACCATCTAGCAGTAATTTTCGCAATCAAGTACTCGTAAAATCTGCATGAGTTACTATTTGATTTTTTTCTTGGTTTAGTCATATCTGCTAAAATGTACTCATGTGATCAAAGTAGTGAATGTTTAGACAGCGATCAAGATAATACTGATGAAGGTGATGACAACTGGATCAAATTCTATTCGATCTGGAAGGACACGATGATTATGAAAATATAGTTCAAGATTCATCTAATTCAAACGTTGCTACTTCATGCTTTTGGAAATCAAAAAAAGATGCAGAAATGTGGTTTACACAAATCATGAATTCATCGTTTGGCCCGAAAGGGACACAATATGATCGAGGGAAGTATTGGCTAGACAAATTTTACAGTTCGCGATATCGACGTCATTGCATCGGCTTTTTACTGTTGTTCCGGCAGTATATTCTTGAAGAAACTTTGAAATTCTGGAAAATTTTGGAAAGTGAAAAGAAAAAAAAATCCGGCAGTATATTCTTAAAAAGTGAAGAAGTTCACTGGAGCTGAAATGCCCATTATCACAAATGTGATGTGCAAGCGATGGTCACCAGATTTTAAACAAAATATTTTCGAGGAATCGCTTAGAAATTATTGCTCTCATGTACTGCTTCGTTTCCTCAGTAATGCATCCTAAACTTCATCTAATTAACTGAATAAGACTTCCTTGATGACTTCATATATGATTAGAAAGCGGAAAAGATGTTCTATGGTCCGTCTAGGAATGATAGAAATTTCGAAGATACAATAGTTCAACTGCCAAAGGAATGTCAGCAGTGAACACTGCATCATCGTATGTCAAAAATGCATACCATAAATTCTTACTGGATACTGATGCACTGTTTGAAATTTTCGCTGATCAATTTATTACAGATTTTATGAATATATTCACGATGTTGTTTTTACTGTTTCTAGTCTTCGATTCATTTCTATTGTCCAATCATGAATGAGTTGAGAAGCCAAAATCATTTTTTTACAGTTCGCATTACAGTACCAACTTAAAACGTGAAAATTTCATCAGGAATTGTGTTGTTTACTATTTTATCGTACTTAAAATTTTTTCTTTTCAATTTTTATCGTCGATTTCTCGTTTCAAACTTTCTTTGCAGTTCCATGTGAATGAATATAACGAAATTGTGTTTCAGGTGTAACAGTCACTCGATTTGCACACCTTAATATTGTTCATTGTTCTGATGTATCTTTGAGAAAGGTAAAACAAGTCAGAATTCCTGAACAGTGACAACGACTGTCGTTTCAAAACGTCTTAATAATGACACAGATGTAGCCGGGCGTGAGAGGACCGGTTCATCTGCAGTGCTATAAAACGTTCTAAGTCGCGAATGCTAAAAAAAAGTGCTGTAAAAGACGAGTTCTTTGTCTTTTTTTTCCAGTTGAGGTTAGGGAAATGAACAAAGTCGCAAAATGTGGATAAAATTTTCACGGAGTTATGGAGTGGCGCCGGGCCTCTCAGGTGCGTTCGTCATGCGAGTGTTAATGGCTTGGAGATAAGAAAGGTATTGTGCAACAATGATCCTATGAGACTGGTAATTGGGAATGATCGCATATGAAAGTAATGAAAGAAAACCCGTACGAATCAGTGTTCAGCACCCATAGAGTAATATCGTCTGATATCCAAGGATTGCTTGGCTGAGGAGCCGTTATAAAAGGATCGTAATCGTGGAATTGCTCACACCATGAAACCATTCTAAAATTATTCAATTCTTTTGAAACAGTCGTGTGAAGACAATAATAAATAATGTATGAATAAGAATGACATTTTAGTATTGAAGTAAAATTCAGTAAACAATCGAAGTTGTGCATTTAAGCATAAAAGCTCACGTTTCACTCGCTTTCAGTGCCTTCAACCACGGCTTCGTTTTCAAGGAAAACCGTAATCGTTCCAATTCCTTCTTATATCCAGCGGCAGTACATTTTCGCAGTTTCTTTTCAATTTTCTTGAAAAGAATATTTTTTACATTTTGAAATTGTTGAGATATGGTTAAAAAGTTTAACTTTGTTATACAATTTAGAGGATTTGATTTGACCTCATCAAATGAAGATTATAATGGAATTTTCGATTATAGCATGTCCATTGCTTCGAAATACACTTTTCATGCTTTACCAGAGAATATGCTTGTCTTCGTTCACTTCAATCGCTCACCTCCCAAAATATATCCCGTTCCCCGAGTACTATACGCCATAAACATCGCCCCTAAACCTTTCAGCGAACAATGAAATACGTTAATGCCATCAAAATCGGATACAGTTCAAAATGACGTTTGAGATACAAACGATAAAATCTGAAATTAATGAAAATATTTCGCTGTTTCCAACTACCAACTTGTACATGTTGTTCAAGGCAATTCGCCTGACCAGGCCTTCGTGTCCTCCAGAACGCTCTTTCTTCACTATCATAGACCACTTTATCACTCTTCTTCTTTTCCTGTGATAAAAAAGACAGCGATATATTTCATCCAATTCTTTCGAATTTGAATTCAATTTCTTTTTGAATAGTTCATTCGGTAGACTTGAGAATACTCAACAGAACAAGTTTGATTTTTTTCTGGCGCTGCATCGTTCTGTCATAATATGGAATTACCTTCTGTATTTTCAATTGCATTTCGGCCTGAACGGTGATAAATCCCCACATATGACCGAGCAGTTCAAGTAGTTTATTGTAGGCTTCCACCTCATCCTCTTCGAGACCATGTCTTTGTTCGTTTCGCATCAAACGTTTGTTCAGGTATATGGCTGAAAGAGAAAGAATCATGCTTCCATAACTTATCATTGATAGGAACGTAACAACTATAAACTTCATTAATGCTTACGTTAATTACTCTTATCACGTTACGCCAATATAACCTGAATCTATCTTATAAAGTGCCTCTGATAGATGAATTTGAATTCACGTTTGAATTGAAAAGAGATAGATTCTGATTTAATGATTGTTGGTGATTTCTGAAGCTCGATTCTTGATTCTCGAAAGCAAAGTAATTTATGACTACAAAGAGCACATTCGAAACGAAAAGCAAATACACAGATCTATAAGTGATAAACTCAAATTCGCGGCGAGGTTGAAACTGAATTCGATCTAATCAACGAAAAAAACTAAAGATGAGCTACTCTATCAGAAGACACTTGCTCGTTTGACTTCGATGGAAAAGTTTTAGTCATTACTAACACATCACTGTAATATTGCATTCAGATACAATGAATGTACGCTTTCAACTAGTTTAATACCATATTCCACGTTGTCTGTATGAGTTGCATGCGATGGCCAAAAATACGGCAGCTGAAGCCTATAGAGAGTGTTGTCGTCTTTGACTACCAATGAATGCTCGATAACCGGAAATAAATAACCATGTTGGAGTAGTAAGGTGGCCAAATGAAGCGCATCTGTTGGATCGTCGAATGCCATCAGCTCCTGAATTCAATTCATAAAAGCACCTCATATATAATAGTTTTAATGCATCACTTTAATGTGCATGAGTAAGTGTTATCAATGAATAAGTCATCGACAACAGCAGCAACGGCTGTATCAGCTTATATTTGGTTGTTTTTAGATGAGGATTTTATTCGATTTAAGTCAGTTATACTATAAAACATTCAACTTGTCCTCATAATAAACTCGAAAAAATACCTGTAAAAAAGCAACAAGAGTTTGTCCGGTCAACGCTTGCGGCACGGCCACTCGAAAATATTTATGCGTTTTAAGTGGTGCTGATTCGGCAATTCGTAACGAAAGAGAATCGAGCTAAAACAGTGAATCTTTAAAAAGTTCCTTTTGAAAATATTTTTTTGTTTACCAACAACAACAAAAATATTTTCAAATCTTGTGTGAACAGTACAGAAAAATGAACTAAAACATTATGAGTCTTTCAAAAAATCTGTCAAATTTGCTGTATTGTTTTCATGACGGCACTGTTATATGCATTCCACAGAAGATGCGTAGCCATATTCTCGTGTATTATCATGCATAGACATAACCTTCTTCTTATGCATCCACAGATCCATCTCATATGCCAAATGAATGTAGGTAGTGACCAGAAAATATTTCAGTTAAACTGAACTGAATAACTTATGAATGTTCACGTTCTTTACATACTCTCGCAGAGACTAGCATCTTGACCTTGACAGTATTACTAGGTAGAACATGAAACGTGAAAAATCATTTCGTATTCCTCAAATTGTTACTTCCAAAGTGTTTTGGTGAATGAACTTGAAATAACTATGTGATTAGAACCAGCATAAATAATCAATTCTTAAAAACATGTATAGCAACGCTTGTTCAACGAAACCTTTCATTCGATAAAAACAATCATTCGAATGCTATCGGTACAGCTACCTGAATAACGATAATTTGATTACAACTCGTCACCTAAGAGCACAACATCGTGACACTAATCAATTCATTGATTTCTCTTGCATACAATAAGTGTGAATCAATCATCTCGGCACGTACAACCATTCGCTCTGTAAAACTATGGTAGCCAAGAGAAATGAATTACAACTTATTTGTTTCGTTACTGTTGACATCGATTAGAAACACTTGAATAATGCCATGAATGGTAAAACCGAATAAACACTTTCAAGACATTTTTGAACATTTTCTACCATTCAGCATTACCTATCAACATCTACCTATCATACTTTTGAAAATTTCATCTTCACAAAACTGTTCGATCTGGACGAACACTGCAACAATTGGAGAGTTGATCAATTCTTGGTATTTTATTTGGGATGCATAAATGAGAAGAAGAATGACAGTTTATTAAAGAGAAAAAACAAAAAATTGGCAATGCCGTCTATCTTCATTGACAGGTGAGCAAATTCATTATTACTGTGCTATCAACGAAATTGTTTACTTTCAACAAACTAACGAGATTTTTAGTAATTTCATGTCAAAGCAATTCCCAGAATTCAATTTTCAAATAACAAGTATCAATTAGATGAAGTAATCGCACAACAACGTTGCACGCTTGAACCTCGAAAACAATATAGTAAAATGGTGAAAAATTGTGCGACAGTAATAGAAAAGTAACAGGAACGCATTTTTTTTGGACTATAGAAGAAACACTCAAAGTTTTTTAGAAATGCGATTTTATGTTGCATTATTTATCAATAATCCTTCACGACTGAAGATTTCAAAGCTCAGCAAAAGTTTCAATATAATTTTAAGACGAGTTATTCCAATAATATCTACCTACCTTCACAAGTTAAACAATTGCTATAAAGCTTTTGATGTTATAGCAGTTTAAACAATAGTTGAAAATTTTGTAGATGAGAGGTTTAAGAATGGGTGTTTTTTATAGAATTACATGTCGATAAAGGATTAAAGGTACGAAAACAGTTTGATAATTTATTGACTGATAGCACTGACTTATTGGCTCGTTTTAGGGGTAAAATGAAGATGAGAGTTGTGCAGAGATCCTAGTGCACATCTTGAACAATGTCGAACGGTTGAAGATTCTTGATGTTGCATGAGCGCGGTAACATTCATTCTGTTTAGTGTCCAACAATTTAGACTTGAAAATCTTTCATCTGCACTAAATTTTATGGTTGAATTTGAAAGCTGTTGAGGACTAATGTAAAGGTTGAAAAGAACAGAAAGCCAGCGGAAGTGAAGATTAAATTCTATACAAAATCCCACTCGGTACTTGACCTTTTCAAGCAAAAAAGGCGATTTCTGATTCATTGAATTTCTGATCATGACAACAGATAAAGTTACTGTTTCTGTGAATATGTGTATATTCAACAGCGGCCATGCTAAATGTCGAATAACAACATTCTTCATGAATGCTTCTTAATGATGAATACAACAGAAGAAATATCGAGTTTTGTGAGCGATTGTGGTCACTCTAAGCGAGTAAGATCAATTTGAAGGGAGATTTCAAAAAATATTCGTTTTGCGATTTGAAACTGTATTATGATGCATTCATGAATTAGCTTCGAATGATTCACCCATGTGATGAACAAACATTTTGTGCTGCGAGCTTCGATCAATTTGGGCAAGCTACTAAGGAATTTGACCGTAAAAATAAATGTTACTGCAGGGATTCTAAAACAGCAGCAAAGTTTTCGATTCGGATCATCAGAGATACAACCAATTGCTATCTGAACCAGTTCTATGAAAATGTAGTCGTGGGAAAAAAATGCACGATCCAATGTGTTAGATTTAGTGTTGTGCGGGCCATGAAATGCTGACCAATGACATATAACAGTTGAATTGACTGTCGTGAACACGAACGATGTTCAGAGAATACAGAACAAATATTTCTGTAATATAGAGAAAAGCTGAAGGTTACCTTTGCGAGGGTGGAAGCGGCCATCGTCGAAAAGAATAGCGCGCACACAGAGGCACACTCCCCGCCACGCACACATACAATGCTTTCCAATAATTCAAAGCGCCGCCTCTCTATAGCCGTCTGTGCACGTCACAAAATTTTGGTGTAATTTGGCAGTACACGACGGGGTTTGATGATGAATAGTAGCAGCAAGCCCGAATAATTATAAATAATTGAACGAATAAATGAAATAAATCACAAAGACATAAGCACACATAGACACTCACAAACACACAGCACATACATCGATATGCACATACACAATGGAGATGTTATTTTAAGTTATGTTATATGATTTAAAGTATATGCAATAATAATGGATGATGTATATGAGTTGTTGCACACTTTACTATTACTACTAGCTGAACGCAATCGAATCAGATGGATGCATATATTGAATGAGCAGATAGATATTCGAATGAAGAATCGATACAGAGATTAGTACCATTCGAATGATGTCTATACTAGTAGTACTAGGTAGTAATAGCTGTAGTAGTATTCTTATTCGTATTCCATTTCGTATTCGTTGTTTGATAATTCGTGTCAGGAGTGAGCAAAGCAAGCAGTGCTAGAGCAGTGATAGCACGAGGATCGACAATCGAACCGAGGAGTGAAGAGGTGAGATGAGAAGTGAGAGGAAGTGAGGAAGGCTTTTACTGGCTGCGCTTTAGTGCGTAGGGAAGAATCGAGTGAAGAATCAATCGAATGAAGGATTGCTGCTGCTGCTGCTGCTGCTGCTGTTGCTGCTGCTGCTGCATGCTGTTCTGCTGTGCTCTGCTGCTGCTAGCATGTTGCTATGGATGACGATGTCACTGCATCGGCGATTCTAATCAACTACGATCGGATTCGACTCGAACGAATCCATCTCTCGAATCGCCCGCCACATCTCGAAGTCGACCAAGGGAATCGCTCGTTCGGATCAGTTATGCGCTTTCTGTGCATCTTCTACTACAATTCGTTCTTCCTTCCTGCATTCGACTGACAATTTCATACTCCTCCTCGTAATGCGTAGTCCCCAACGCTATCAACTATCTGCATACTCTCTTTTTCCCTCCCAGCCTCCTCACCGTAACTTCCTATTTTATCGTTTCTTTCATCCCTTTTGCTCATATTCTTATCATAATCTTTTTTCATCCTTCTAATATTCCCTTTCTTTTATATCATAATTCATATGTTGTCTATTCGGTTTCAATCATCCATTCTATGCATGCATAATATCAATGCTGTTTCCGTCGTTTAGTTTCGCCGCAATAGAACATTGCAAATCAAAAACGAGGCCACACAGAGTTAGCAAGTTGGTTATTTATTTGCATGAAGCAAATGGTGTGATGCAGCTTGCTCACCACAAACTTGTGTGCTGCTGAAAGGTTTGGTTTATTATTAAATGGTGGTTGTGCTTCGCAGTGAATGATTCTTCAATTCTGATATGCACTGGTAGACGGCATAAGCACTGAAACTCTGATGGGGAAGGTGGATGGAACAGTGAATTAGATAGGTGGTGCGGTGATTGCAACGGGTGCGCAGTTAAGAGAAAGTTTATCTCAGAAAGTAACGAGGAACCAGAAGATAATGGACGACCACTCTCCCAAATTATGTGTCCGTTGTCACAAAATGACATTTGAAACAAAAGTGACTGAAGGTTGTTGAGGACTGATTTGTTGAGTTTCAAAGAAAATTGCTATTTATCATCCGTTTTTAAGCCGCCCATTATCAGCCGCTGAGATATTCTTCAACTGCATAGTAGTGAGTAACTGTTGAAAGAAATAGATCAGTAATACTTGCAGTCCATGAAAGATGTAAGTAAGGTCGAATAAAATGGCAATTCACCTTTCGTATCTCGAAGACGTGTTGTGTTTGGCATGCTTGATCAATCCGTAAGTGATGAGTACAAATATTCGTAGACATGAATAAGTTAGATGCAAGCACTTCCCAACTGCACATTCAAGTATTAATTTATGATGGCATTGGTTTGCTTAAGTTTCGACTCATAGCAGAAATTTCAATTTCGAGTCAGATTTGTTCCAGTTCTAGTATGAAATTTCGATTCATTCATCTCCGATCAAACAGGTAAGCGTTTCACCGTGCATATAATAATTTCTAACAATGTTTATTTCGGTTGACTTCTTATTTCCTAGAATGGAGACAGTGAAATCGAACGGTTGTGGTCCGCAAGAGAACTAACATCAGAATTTTTAGAAGTGCTGACCGAATTTGAAATCGAATCGAATCTTTTCAAGCAGCAGCAGCAGATTCAGTTCACAATGCTTCAATTATTGCTCATTCAGTTCATCACTGTTCCCACCACTAAACTTTCACCGTTCCCTTTCCACTAAAATCTTTTCTAAAAGAGATTCAAACATTGAGGAAAGATATGAGTGTAATTATAGTATGATAGCGTTTAGCATTTGAGTGTATCAGAAGTGGCATTGCAATGGAATATCGAGTTGAATGTGCTCAAAAAGACTGTCTTCAACGTCACTAGATTGTTATGAATAGTTATCAGCAGCAAAAACATCAAAACCTAACGATAACCAAAGAATTTTCGCTTATTTTCTCTGACACTTAGATCAATGGATTGTGAGAATCAAAAATGAAAACGATTTGTTGAGTAGAGCCCAAAGCGATTATGCATGAAAGATGCGTTACAGAAACGCAACTTCAACGCTGCACATCGATAATGTATCGTTTTAACGGAACACTATTCGATTTCAGTCAGTATCTTTATCATACTAACGATAAGATTCGCTCACCTTCATTCTGTCAGCCTGACGACAATCTT